GCGATTGCTTTGAAACGCTCCCGCAAAGGGATCTCCGTCCCCTCCCAGCCGGGCATGGCACTGCCTCCACCCGCCACCACTGAACCCTGCAAGGCCGAGAAGACTTTCTGACCGTGCCTGGCAACTCCGCGCTGCCGGGAAACCCGGGGGCTGCCTGCAGCGCTCTCAGACTCCCCGCTCGCTGCCGCACACAGGCGCGCTCCCTCGCCCTCGCCCTCTCCACCCCCCGGCTCCGCACGCCGTCTCTCACACACACACACGCGCGCACGCTTTCTCTCACTCTCCCTTTACCCGGAGGTGCGCTGGTAGCCATTTAATGAGGGGGAAAAGTTAAGAGATTAAACCAATATGAACCATCGTTGCTCGTAGCAGTGCCCTATCCAGAGCAGAGCAGAATCCAGCGAGCACCCCTGCAGGAATGGAGTCGGTAAAACAAAGGATTTTGACCCCTGGCAAGGAGGGATTGAAGAATTTTGCCGGAAAATCGCTTGGTCAACTCTACAGGTAAGACTGAGATCTCTTATAGGGCTCTACTTCCTAGAAATAATTGGAAGCTTTTCTTAACCGCCAGCTGCAGAAGGAGGTCGAACAGCTTTGGGGAGGCTAGTGGTGGAGGGGCTGGGAGCTGTTGAGATACTGCTGATATAATCTGGATCCTGGAAACTAGTGCTGAAGCTTCTCAATATGGCACCCTCGTAACTTCTCTGTCTGATTCGTAGATGGTGTCAGTAAATATGCAGCGAAAGATTACCCCACAGGTTCCCATCTTGAAAACATAAGCAGGACAGAGCAGCTCCCTGTATTCTTGCTCTGTGTTAATTTTACAATGCAGTCACAAGATCTTTCCCTCTGCCCTTACCAATCATTAACTAATAATAATAATAATAATAATAATAATCATCATCATCATCATCTTTCCTGGTTTCGATTAGTCTTGTCCCTTGTGTAATTCGTCGTCAGAGGAAGATAAACATGGAGATGTATAAATAATTGATATCCGAACGATTTTTTTTCTCCTGAAGCTGAAACATATAGAGGGATGTGTTTAATTATTTATCCGTCTGCCTTGAGAAGCATCCACTCGTCTTATAAGTAATACACAATTGCAATTGCTAAACTCAAAAGCATCACTCAACAGTATGTTTCTGTGTGTACAGAACATTTCTACGGTCTGCGAGCCCTGTACACACGGATAAACAAGCCCAAATTCTCGCATACCTAAAAAGTGTGTGCACTAAAGTTGACACATCGTGTGCCATCCAATCTGGCGACTTTAGTGACCTCCAGGACGTTTGAGAATAGTCTGTGAAATTCCAATGTATGTTCGATTGTCCTGTCTGCTAGAAGTTACCCCGAAGTTTTTTTTTTTTCGAATTACAGATTAAAGGTAACTGCGGATTTATCTGCCTAGGTAGGTCACGTAAAAGTCTTTTTTCCATACCTATGCGGCAGTGTTGGGCACAGGCACAAGGCTGTTCCACAGCATGAGTCACAACTTCTGCTGCCATTTTCAGGGAAGGGGGCATATCAGCGAAGTGATAAAGACAAAATTAAGATTTCCATTTTAGTAGAAAGGGTACAATTTTGAAAAGCCCAAAGCAAAATCAAAGCCATCAACAACGCAGCGAATATCCTACAGGTTTTTGTCATATTTAAGTCATTTTCAACGATCAGAAAAAGAAAAAGAAATACTGATAATCCAGAATAACTGCTTAAAACATAATTAAGGGAATAAACCTCTTTCTCGCCCTAAAAGACTCTACAACGTAAAAATAAAACGATCATGTCTACTGTTTTTATACAGTCACACAGTGAATAATGGAGAAACGGTGTTTGTATTTTCCAGCAAAACTCCGTTTGAACTCCCCTCTTGATTAACAAATGCGCGATTTACTAATATTTTTCAACGCACGGGACTGAACTATTTTACTTCCGATTCTTAGAATTAAAATAGTTTTCCTGTCCCTTATACCTCAGTGTCTTCCCGAAGACAAGAAGCCCATTCAGGGAGGAGACGCTTCTGCATTATTCTTTATTCGCAAGAACGAATTTTGAACAAAAAACCCACGGTGTTTTATTTTATTCACAACTTTAAGACATTTCTTAATGCTGCGGTCTTTAAGCACGGAAATAATTCTCCCAGCAAAGAAAAATCGGGAGGATTTAAACTGAGTAACTATTGGAGAAAATCCCTGTATTTTCTCCAAAACACGGAAAACCTTTTGAGCCTTATTCTGCTAATTGTTACTGCCCCATTAGCCGGATGAGTTAACCTCAAAGAGATGCTCCTCCGAGGAGAATTTCTGACGTGAGAAAACACTCCTAGAGCAGGGGTGAGGGCAGCGGGAGGAGAGTCCAGAGTGTCGGGAAATGGTCACATATTCGCTCCTCAAGACGATGGAGCTAGGATGGAAGCCGTTAGTTTTTCTGTCTTTTAAATATCTCTGTGACTGCAAAAGAAGATGAAGAGGCTCAGCATGGGACACTTGTTCGATAAACCCGATCTTTCTTACTACCGACACGGCATTTTTAAAGCTTTTCCAGCAAAGAAGAAATAAACCGAAATGTTCTAAGTCACTTTTCGTGGATGGCGGGGGTGTGTCCGCGTGTCCGTGTGTGTGTCCGTATTTTTCTGTTGATTCGAAATAGCTGCAAATAACCGTTCCCCTGCAGATCCCTGCACATTGTTTTCTAGGAGATGGGATTCTCATGTAAAAACAAGGGAGTGGGGGCAATGAGATCGAGCTTAAAGCCGATCTGGGAAGGTTAAACCTGCTAAGCGATCACACGCTCTCAACGTGTAGCTGAGCAGATGCGATCTTTTGGACAGACTTCTCCGGAGATGCCAGTTCTCTAAAGACGGTCATGTTTTCTTCCACTGCATGTGACAGCCATTTTGCAAATCTAAAATAAGTAGCAATATCGCACACACACACCCCCCCCCCCCCCCCCCCCCCCCTTAATATTTTTTTTGTTCCCAGACCTGAGGCGAGGTGCGCACCAAGATCATCCCCCTTGGTGTTTCTAATACAGCAAGGAGGGAATAAAACCTCCTCCAAAAGACTGTTTCGGTTTCCATACTATGCCTCTTGGGCTACCCAACATGGCGCCTCTGCAGTGGTTACAGATGATGCCTTCTTAATGCGTCCTACATATTTAAGCAGAAGTCTTTAATGATAGATGAGCAATTCTCAGCTAGAGCTCCTCCCTGGGCTTCTGCGGCGGGGTGGCGGGGGGAGTTGGGGATGACTAATCGTGACTCCCACAGGTCATTGCTAAAGAACAGCTGAAGGTGAATGGAAAACAAGGAATAAATCCTCAAATCAATCCAAACCGAGCCAAAGGGGCGGGGGGAGCGGTGAACTTAAGCCTTCAGCCGCCCGAAGTGGCTGTGCTCAGGCGGCCAGGGCTTGACTTTCCCTTCTTGTGTCGGGCAGAGTCCTAGAGAAGAGGCAGAAGCCCGGGGACACCATCGAGCTGACGGAAGATGGAAAGCCCATGGAAATGCCGGAGAAGAAAGCCCCGCTGTGCGACTGTACCTGCTTCGGGCTGCCCCGGAGGTACATCATTGCCATCATGAGTGGACTGGGATTCTGCATTTCCTTCGGGATCCGATGTAACTTGGGAGTGGCCATCGTGGACATGGTCAATAACAGCACCATACACCGAGGAGGAAAAATTATTAAAGAGGTGGGAACCCTTCCCTCGTAAATCCCACGTCCTCCCAGTACAACTCCCAAGTCAAGCACCTTAGCGCAGGCGAGACGGGCCCCGATGGTTCCGCGGCATTTCCCCCCGCTTCGGCCCGCGATGCTCCCCGGCCCGGCCACGCCGCCGCCCTTTCTAGGACGGAAACCCCGTTCTTGAAGGAGAAACCATTTTTACCGATTATTCCTATTTTTCCTTTTCGGTTCCCAGCCCCACTTTGCGGTACTAATTCGCGGGCATATTTTTTTTTTTTTTTTCCTTTTGCACAGAACCTTGAAAAACGCAGATATCTCGTAAAACAAATGTGGGGGAAGGGGGAAGGAGGGAGTCGAATAAGCGAGTGCCAGCGGATGCGCGGCGCTGTAACGGAGCCGGGGAGGTTGTGCAGGAATGTTTGAAAACGCCAGGGTGGAAGAATTTGCTTTGATAAAAGGCGTTCGATGATAAGATCCGTTTTAAAGCGAGTTATAGCGTAGTGAGAAAGAGGTGAATGCTAAATACAGATGAGTGCTAAATATACAAGTCCGCAGACAAACAAACCCCTGTAGATTCCTCCTTGCACAGGCAAGAGGTAGGTGCTCACAGCCACGGCCGTGCGGGCAGGGAGG